GGTGCCTTTTATACTGATAACAAGGTCAAACAGGTGCCATTACTACAGGTAACGAGTGGAGGACAGAGGAGCCTCTTAAAGAAGTAGTTACAGGTCTGTGAGAGCCAGACATCTTGCTTGTTTGTAGGTGACCAAATACTTATTTTCCACCATGATTTGCAAATAAATTCTTTAAAAATCAGAAAATGGGATTTTCCGGGACCCCCCCCCCCCCATTTTGTCTCTCATAGTTGAGGTATACCTATGATGAAAATTACAGGCCTCTCTCATCTTTTTAAGTGGGAGAACTTGCACAATTGGTGGCTGACTAAATACTTTTTTGCCCCACTGTACATGAAAGGGATCATTTTACCATATGTGGTGGACATGCAAAAAGGTAGTACCCTTCTGGTGCAAATTTCTGAGTGCAATTAGTATCATTACAAAATGAAGTTCTGAAGGCTCTCCATAACTAGGCTTGTTGCATCTATGCACACAATTGAGTGCTTCTCTTAAAAATAAGGAGCTGATTGTCAAAAGTAAATAGACACAAAACTAACTGAAATTTTGGAAATATCTTGAAAATCTAACAATTGATTTGTGGATTAAAAGAGCTTTCTCAATTGCTTTATTAGGAAAAAAAAATACTAATAAGGTCATTAGAATAATGAACTTTCAGAGGCAAGAATCACACTTTTATCAAGTTTGGACAGTTGTATGACTTATGTTACACAGCAACCTGTGTAATTTTTTTTAATTCTTATGAATATATGGAAATTATGAACAACTTTTAGACTTCTTTTATTAGTGGTGACTTTTACTTCTTTAAAATCACATCATTTTTTAAATTCTTTGTATACTCTTTGCTTGGTTCTTTTTCTCTTTGTACAAATTACTGTTCAATACATTTAGAAATAAAAAATGAAAAAAAGACTAGACTTTATATTACATTAGAGTCTGTATAAAAACAAACATATAATTTTCTAAACTAGAATTTTAATGGGGTCTATCAGATTAATAGCTCTTTAAAACTATAAAGGTTACGATTATTTAGGAAATGTGTTGTTAATGATGTGCAAACTTTGTTGATTCTGGAATGAATGATTCTAAAGAACTCTGGAACATTTTGTTTCCAAATGGACCACGTTCTTCTTGGAGGGTGGGAGGGTTTTGGCAGTTTTTGGAAGTAAATGCTTGAAACTAGAAGCATTTGAAGTGTTTCCAGTGTTCCGGCTCAAATAAAAACAAACAAACCTCTGTTCCATCTATAGCATTGTCTCTGGAATATCTCAAACTATTTTCAGTTCAGAGGATTTACTTCCGGAAACCATAAAACCATCCATCAGAACAGCTTGGTCTAGAGAAAAATCAAATTGATCAGGAAGGAAGCAGAATATTCTTGAGTTCCCTGAATAGACTATTTTGCATAGCCCTCTGTAGTCACTAGCTATAGTGAAGGCCACCAGTGTTGCTCTGCCAAGGTTCGATTTACTATGTGGCCTAAAGTGATTATGGTAGACAGGCACCATAGCCCTATCTGTGGTAGCACCTTGATGCTTGAAGAGAAGGAGCACCAAAGGGAGTAGTACTTCATATTTTCTGTGTCATTACTGCAATAGCTCTCTTTCTGCTAATTCCTGTACATAATATAGATGTGGCATTGAGCTTGTAAAATGCTGGTGATTTTACCTCTTTTGTTGGAATAAAAACTGAAATGTTGCACTTGCTCTAAGAAGAAACATGTAGCAAAGAATGATATATCAGATGCAGAGTATTATATACCAGCTATTTTTAGGCAGTTTTTCTTCTTCTTAAAAACTGAACAAGGTTGATAAAGAGAAACTGATAATGCAATTTGTATCTTTTTTTAAAATTTAGACTAGTTCTTTGCTTTAGAACTAGCCTAGCTATAAAATGGATAACAATAACTATGAAAACAGTTGGTGCCCTTTGCAAGTATATTATCCAAAAATCACTAGTAATATTAAAGCTGATTTCCACATGGACATTTCCATAGCATGCAATAATTTAATTTCAATGCTGTTAGGAAATAAATGCCTATGTCTTTATTAATTAGGCTTAAGATGAGCACTGGCTTTTAATATTGCACTGTAATCTTAAACAGGACTGCTGTAGGTTTGGGTTGTCATGGACTGCTGTCAGAAATAATTCTGATTTTTAATTAACAGTCCAACAGTTACAACTACTTTAAAGAACCTTGGAGCACTTTACAGACGTCAAGGCAAGTTTGAAGCTGCTGAAACACTAGAAGAGGCAGCAATGAGGTCCCGTAAACAGGCAAGTGCCACAACACAAAAAGGTTCTTCAAAACGTTTAATGTGTTGATATTACATAATCATTATCTTTGAAGCAGAACAGACATAAATTTAGAAGCAATGGAAGATGTGCACAGAGCAATTATACTGTGTTCTGAAAGTTCTTTTGCTCTGTTCTGGGCTGGCCAACTTTTGGGTGGAGTGGGATGCCTAACTATCGGCTCTTCAGTTCCATCCATTCAGAATCTGGAAATTTCAAGTAAACAACAGAATTTTGAAGACAAAACAGGCTCTTTGCTGTCTTGTAGTGATCACTGTGAAGAAAGACTTAAGTTTCTTAAACACCCACTCCAATATCTTTTTTTTTTCCCTCTGGGCACTGGCTGGCTGCTTCCCATCCTCTTGACCCAAGGATTTGCAGTTCCTACCTGAAAGAAAGAAAGAAAGCTTACCTGGGAGAAACAAAAATAAATCTCTCCCATCCATACTAGTGGAGATTATATTTATCATCAATCTTACCCAGTTGCACACATAACGAAAGAAAAATAGTAATCATGAATGGTCATACACGGCTCAGCAAACAAGTATTCCTTTAATGTTTGAAATGCTAAAGAAAAGCTGCTATAAACAGGCCAAACCAACACATTCAAGAATGCCTTTGCAGCAAAATGCACTATTCATCGTATCAGGAAACATCACTTCGAAGGGGTCTTGAAAGCCCAAGTTTCTGCCCGGTACAAAAATCCACTGCTAGCATCTTTGACAAATGGCCATTTAATATCTGTCTAAGCACCTCTGTTTAATCAGTGATGCACAAGACGATGAACAGTTTGTATATGCAGGAGCTTAGCAGGCCAGCCATAAAGGAGTTCTTTTTGCATTTTTAAATGAATACTGAAGTCTCCAGATCAATAAACAAAGGTCACCAGAGAATGCAGCAGTGCATAGAAAGCAAGGACAAATGACACCAAAGTAAAAACCTTGCAAGAGCTGTCCAGAAATGCTGTCTGCATGCTTTTCAGATGCAGTCAAAAAGCTCAGAAGAGACAACAACAAACCAAAACAATCCATCTAGATTTTGTAGAAAATTTTAAACCATGTTGATGATGGTTAGTTTTGCTCAAATGTGAATGAGCACTTTGTACTGCCCTTTGTCTTGTTGATAGTGGAGCTTTCAGACTACCTTTGACAAAGACAGTTACTGCATACAGAAGGGTATCCTGAATTCCATCATTGACAAAAACTTGTACAGAGTACACACACCTACCAGTAAAACAGTCAGGCAATTCATGGCATGATGATTTTAGCTGGGGAAGAATGGGCCTCCAGCCTGAGCATCAGTTTCATGCATGCAGCCTCAGAGCAAGCACACCCTGTAGTGACCCTGCTGGGTTAGGGCCTGGAGTCCAGCAACACCATTATTGGCCAAACGTGTTTGTAGACAGGCCATGGTGGATGAATCCTGTTCTAATATAGATAGTACAGGGACTAGGTAAACCATTGTGGACTCTCTTGGAGTACGATGCTTATTCAGTGACTACTCAGAGACTGAGACGGACTGCAGGGTGAGCCATCCAGTGCACATTTCTCAGGTGACTGAAAGAGACACAACCAAATATGACTTGCTCCAGTGTCAAGCCCTACCAAGTTGAGCAAGATCAAGGAAGCAAGAACTACGCAGATTTTAGTAAAGTATCTTTAATGCTACTCTGGGGATAAATATAAAGTCTTGGAAACTGTAAAAGGATTTTCTGACGTTCATTTATTGTGAGTTCTTTAAAGTGGAGTCTCTGAATGATTTGAAAAGCTACTCACTGATGTTTATTTTCTCCTTCCTTATTGTAACAGGGACTTGACAATGTTCACAAACAAAGAGTTGCTGAAGTGCTTAATGACCCAGAAAGTATAGAGAGAAGGCAAAGCCGTGAGAGCCTCAATATTGATGTGGTAAAGTATGAGAGTGGACCTGATGGAGGAGAGGAAGTGAGTATGAGCTTAGAATGGAATGGGGTGAGTACAGTACACAGTGCAGTCAAGTTTTCATTCTGTTGTGTGTTTTAAGATATTCTTGGTTTATATTCATCTGCAGATTTGAGTAAAAGAAAAATAGAAATCTGCAGATTTGAGTAAAAGATTTGCATCTGCAGATTTGAGTAAAAGAAATCTGCAGATTTGAGTAAAAGAAGTAGGAGTAAAAGAAGATTTGAGTAAAACATCTGCAGGTTTGAGTAAAAGAAAAATAAATCCTGCTTTTTATATTTTAAAACCGATTGGATAACACTGAGATGAGGAAAATCTAGGAAATAGTATTTGGATCTTGCTGTGTGGGCTTGAATGCTGATTGAATGTCCTAGTTAATACTAGGGCCTAAATCAAGGTAATGGTTGGTTTCTTAGCGGAAGCAAAGGATGACAGCTTGTATTCTTTGTTACTTAAAAGGTTCCCTTTTTCTGATTCAGTAACAAGCACTGCTGTAAACTCAGATGGAATGAAAAAACTGGACACTCTATATTTAAGTGAAAATGACTTCCGTATAAAGGAACTAAATCTACCATCTTTTTCCATTCAGGTAGTCCTGGCTTAACAACCATTCATTCAGCGACCATTCAAAGTTACGGCAGCGCTGAATGACTGGTACTTACTCCTGGTCCCTGAAGTTATAGCTGTTGCAGTGCCCCTGGTCATGTGATCAAAATTTGTCTGCACTTAGACAGCATGGGCACTTCAACTCCCCCTGCCGTCCTATCTCCCCTCCATCTCTGCCATTTTGGCCACCCTGCACAATGGGACACCTTGGTGGCAGTGGCCTTCAACAGTCTTGGGGCTTTCAGCAGTCTCAGCTGGCCACCTTCACCCAGAAGGCCACTTGCGCCATTTTCCAAATAGCGCCTGCCGTTCTTGTGATGCTTCAGAAGGCCTCAGAAGCTTTCTGAAGGCTTTCCAAAGCACAGCAAGAACAGTGACCACTGAAAGCCTCAGGTTCCAGCGCTGCTGCTGCCACCAAGGAGTGCCTCTGTGCAGGGCGGCCAAAAGGGCAGAGATGGAGGGGAGATAGGTGGATGGAAGGAGTTGAAGAGGCAGAGGAGGCTCCCTTACCTTACTGAGGCTCAGAGCTGGAAGGGACTAAGCCAGGAATGTCTTGGATCGGGATGGGTCCTTGCCTAAGTGGGATTCAGTTAATGATGGCAACAGGGATTGCCAGCATTGTCATCACTAAGCAATGCAGTCACATGACATCGTGCTTTACGACCGCATAGCGACAGAAATTCTGGTCCCAATTACTGTCTTTTAGTCGAGGACTATCTGTATTCTGTGAGCTGTGCTGCAGAATCTACTTCTACATGCAACATTTCTGCAGTTTCATGGCACCAGGATGCAAAAATAAAATCTGGCTCTAGGGCTGGATAAATTACTGTCTCCAAGTCTCAGGGAAGCCTGCCAGAAAGACATTTTTTTTATCTCATGCCATGTGCCCCCAGTGGGTAATGCAGAAAGTGTGCTATACAAGTTAAAATAATAAGCACTTTCTAAAACTGGAATTGTTCTTAACAGAGAATTGAACCCGTTTTTCTATTTGTCTGATAATTTACTGTATTGTTATTATAATGATTCTAGCTTATAATAGCACTAGATGGTTTTCTAGCTTTGATTTGCAACTGAATGCCCTGAGCACATACAATTGTTGCTCATGATAAGCACTTTGTGATAATTTCGTTTTTATAAAATATTTTAAACCAAATAGCAATTACTCTTGCATTTGGAAGTGTAGATTAGTTTCACTACTAGGTTATTTTTCGGAGATTTCTTTCTGTTGCTCTAACTCTTGCCTGAATTTTAGAATCCTAAAGGCTTGTGAGGCTCCATATTGTTCCTTTCTTCTTTGACTTTTTTCCTGCACTACTTTGACTTTCT